ATATAGCCCAATTCACAGCGGAAATAGCAAAAAAAGCCCAAAAGAAGCTAACACTTATTGTGGCGATTACAACAGAAGATATGTGTGTTTCTTGGACAAATAGGTCTTGTACATATTGAACTAAAAAAAAGAAACAAATCTTTTCTTTACAACATAGAAATCCCAGAAATCAAATATCAGTACACAAAATCAATTATACAGAAATCCATCATTACAGAACGAAATCTGGAGATCTCAAATCTTTATTACATAATTCGAAAATCAATTGAAATCAATTAACAAACAATATAATCCCTAACTTGATCCCTAAATCCCTAAATCTAAGACAAGCGATTTGTAACGGAAATTTCACTAAGGCCCGATAAGTACTAAGAGAAAGATATACAGTAAAGGGGGGAATTTCGGATACAGAGGAGGAATTGATGAATAGAACCGCGAGACCTTGAAGAAAAGAAGAAGAACTTGGGGGAAGAACCCGGAAGAACATAAGAAGGGCCGTTTGGGTTCCAGTATCTGCAACCCTAATTCCTCAAGCGCCGCCGCGCCACCATCTTCAACTTCTCACTCCACCGGAACTTGTAAAAACCGAGAACAAGAGGATATTAGTCCAAATAGATCTAAAGGCGAACAACCGGAAGCGCAGTCGCAAAAGGGATAACGATATCTTAGCTCATTTGTAGATTTGTGTTGTGTTGGCGTTTGGGGTTTGGTTCAAGGGTAGGCCGCCGTGCCGCCGTAGGGGGTTTCGACCTAAAGTTGAAGAAAAAGGGTAGGGGTTTGTTGTTCATGCGAGAGAGAGAGAGAGAGAGAGAGAGAGAGAGAGAGAGAGAGAGAGAGAGAGAAGAAGAAGCTATTGTAAACAAGAGATGAACTAAAAAAAATATGTAAAGACAATGTTTATATTCTGTTTCGATTCCATGCATGCTGGTACACCATAACTCACATACTGCATCATCCTTATCCGCTAGATTTTGATCTGACGACCATTAGGCAAAGTCACACGCTAACTCACATGCGCCTCGCCTCATACAATCCCTCAGCCTCTCTCAAACTCATTTGGGCCCAGCCCATTTATTTTTATACCCCCTTTATCTCTGAATTATCAAAACATAAGGCCAACTACACCTCCCCTTCTTGTCTCCATATTTGGGCCAGTCCTAATTGTTAACAGCACCCCATATTTTTACTCTATAACTAATAATACACCCCCTGGCCTAATTAATTATTTTTTATGTTTTTCTATAATTTTATCATTTTTTTAAATTCTATTTTCTTATTATTATTATTTTTTTTTAAATTCTATTTTCTTATTATTATTAGTTATTTCTTTTATGATAATTATTATCTTGCTTAGTTATATTATTATTTATTATAGTAAATAAATTATTTTATTCAAACTCATGCATATTATTTTTTATATATTACATTAAATATTTTTATATCATGCATTAATTAGAAATTTCGCAATTAACACGGTAAAAAATACTCAACAAATCTCAAATTATTTTTTCGCGATCAACTAATTTAATCAACTGTTTTTTACAAAAGGATTTCAAACAGATTTTGACTCGCCGCGCATTTAGTCATAATCTCCGCAATCAATATTCCCGGCCAAATGCGAGGTGATTCAAAGTACGTTTGCAACCCCTAAAAAATACCAACCTCATAAGAACTACGAATTGGGACTCTGATTCCTCTTAAGAGCATACGTAGGCATACGATCAAAAATCGTAGTGAATTCCCCTATAAAAAATTTAAACTCTTTCCCTAATAAAATTTAAATCTTGTTTCCCCAATTCAAACCTAAAACCTAGTATCCTTGTGAAAAAGGTAGATGAAAGGTGCCTAACACCTTCCTTTTGTATAAAGAAGTCCGAAACCTAGAATCTCTGTTTGCGAATTAGGGTTTTCTGTTAGATTCTCTTCCCTAGGATAAAAACTAATAGTGGCGGATCTGATTAAAAAATCATCTGCAATAGCTGGAGACTCTGCTGGGGAGTTCAACTTTAGATTTTAGGATTTTTAATTTGGGGTTTTTATTTATTTATTGCATTATTTATTTTTTACATTATTTATTTATTGCATTTATTTATTGTCAATTTTCTTATCATCATATATACTGCATGGCGGGATTTTTTATTTCTCAAAACATTTTCAATAACCCTTAGAAAGAAGGTTCGTATATTAACTTAGGGGGTACATCATCCCTGCGAGTTTATGTGACGACTTCGCCTAGAGTCGGTGAACTTCCGAAAAAGGAATATTTATCGAGATATATCCTCTTGACGAGTAAGACTTTGGAAGGTCACCCACGACTCTTTGTAACGACCTTAAGCTAAAATCTCATGACGAGACCTTTCACGACTTTGAGACGAAAGTCTCAGTCCGTAAAGAGGCTCCACCTAAGGGAGGCCCTTATGCTTTTTTCCTCTGGTGTTACTCATGACGCCCTTAAGGAAACCACCTTCTGGGAGGATAGATCAAATGTAGGTCAAAATTAACGAACCTACCTTCTGAGGATACTTACCATAAAACCCCGTCACTCAATCTTGTGCCTAGACATCTGTGCGTTCATACATTTCATATATTCGTCATATATTTCATATATTCGTCACCCGTTTCTTTTTATTTGTCTTATTTATAGGGGGTACAAAAAATAATAATAAACTCAAGATCTCAGTGACCGTCTTTAAAAAAATGGATACCGAAGGAAACAACTTGTCCGCATCAATGCGCCAAACATGTCTGAAATCAAAGCCACAAAAGGGAAATAATATGCTAAAGACCTTCTCAAGCTTTGTCAAGCAAAGGTGGATGATTTCAAGAGCAGACGTCCGCAAGCGCACCAAGAAGAATTATTTCCCTTGGTTCAATTTCATACAAACAAGTTTTGGTTTAAGATTGTAATATTTTTTAATATCTGAATTATGTTACCTTCAATAAAGGCATTTTGTTCCCACATCTCGCTTGCGTATCTATTTTTAAGCCGGTCACCGAATAAAAATAAGCAAAAGACAATCATGTACCCAAGTGAATAAGATATTTAACACAAGAAACTATTTCATGTTCATACACATCTATTCGCACGCATGCATTCATGAACACCTACATATCATATCAAAACTCATTTTTCAAAAACATCTCTCCAGTTGAACCATTGGTAGAAGAAGGTATCCACCTCCTTGGCCTCCATATCAAACAAGGGCCTATCAACAAAAAGCAATGGAGAAAATCGAGGAAACTCAGGTTACATTCAAAGAGGATCTCGACCAAGTAAAGAGTGATGCCACTTCAATGAAAGGTGATCTGAGTCAAGTTCTCCTAGCTTTGAAGAAGATTATTGACAGGAAAGACCAGATTCCCAGGGTAGCTTTCGAGGAAGTAGCTCAAACTATTGGTGCATCAAGCGGTCACCAACCAAGGAAAGAGCCAGAAGCAGGACTCCAGAAGTCCGTCATGGCCCAACAAGAAGATAAAATTGAAGGGTTTGTCCTACCGCCACCAAAAGCAGGGGCATCACATACCCTATAGATTCCAACTAATAATGCAGACAATTACTTGGACATGCAATACGGAGACCAAGACCCAGAGGATGTCAACCGAGCACCCTTAAAGACGACGGGTACTCAAGCTATCGATGAACCACGGGTGATGAATCAGTACAAAGCTCTAGAGGAAAGATTAAAAGTTGTGGAGGGTTTTGACGCTTTCGAAGTAAACACTCTCGAAGTGGACCTAGTTCCTGATGTGGTAATTCCACCAAAGTTCAAAGTACCTGACTTTGAAAAATACAAGGGGCTCACTTGTCCAAGAAATCATCTTCGTATGTATTGCAGGAAGATACATGCCCATGCCCACGATCAGAAGTTGATGATTCACTATTTTCAAGATAACCTGAGTGGGGCATCTTCAGACTGGTATATGTGATCAGTGCATTTTGATGCACATTTTTCCATGATTGTACTTATGCATTTTCATGATTTGTTTAGCTTATTTTTGTATTTTATAGTGTTTTTCTATTTTAGTTTATTTCTACTCTTATTTGATTTTCGCACTTTATTTTCAGCATTAGCAGTCTGCACGAATAAATTCATAACTTGAGCTACGAAAGTCGGAATGAGGCGTGCTACCAGTCGTTGGAAAGCTAAGAGAAAGAGCTACGATTTTCATTCAGAAGTCGAGAGCTGAATCAGACTGTAGCAGGGCCATAAAATTCGTTGAAGTTGCATCATTTTATATTTAAGTTTTGGGTCATTTATTTTGGGCCTGAGTTATGTTTTTGACCCAGTTGGGTATTGAACCGAATCCTTGTCTTTGCTATACCTAGAAGCCGCTATAGTAATTTAGTTTTTGACCTTTTCATTATTCAGAAAAAATACATTTTGTTTTTACGCTTGAATGAAGAACTAATCATCCAGAGTTGATCTACTCTAATCGTGTTCCGATGCTTTGAGGTTTTTAACTTATCAATTCAATTTCGTTTCTCTTTCAATTCTATTTTATGAAATTGCATTTGCTTAATTTGTTATTTCATGGAATGTCTTGATTAAATTCGTATGATTGTATTCCTAATCTTTAATCGTTGTTTACGTCGCTTAGTCGTTAAATCGCATTTTATATCGTGTTTGCTTAATTCACGATTGTATTAATCTGTTTGCTTAATTCTGAATGGGAATTCAATCTATTTTATATCTATTGCGCTTGTCAATTGGTATTGAAATCGAATAGAGGTCGAAGCCGCTTAGGGAATTGGTAAGTTAAAAACCAATGATTAGCAGGAACTTGAAAACAGTAGATCGACTTATTTTTATAATCACTTATTTTAATCACTTATTTGCTCAGCTCTTTAAAAATTGATCCTGAATTAAATCTCCCATAATCACTTATGTTGGTTAATAACAATACAAGAATCCTCGCGATACGATACTCGAGTCACTGTCGCTAAACTATATTTTTTTAAAAGTAACTCGTTTTTTATTCGTCTGCGACAGCGGATCAATATGCAATTGGAGCGAACGCATATTCGAACCTGGGCAGATCTTGCTAATGCTTTTCTAAAGCATTACAAATATAACCTGGACATGGCGCCTACCCCCATGCAACTCCAGAACCTGTCCCAGAAGAAAGAAGAGTCCTTCAAGGAGTATGCTCAGAGATGGAGGGAGTTGGCATCCCGTGTGCAACCACCACTGTTAGAGAAAGAATTAGTAGACACATTCATAAGAATTTTGCAAGGGCTGTATTATGAGAAGATGGTTAGAAGTATCTCTTCGGGGTTCTCAGAACTAGTAACTATCGGAAAAAGAATCGAGACTAGAATAAAAAGTGGGAAGATATCAAGGGGACCATCAAATTCTCCCTACAATTCAAGAAGGCCTGCTTCAAACGTCCCCCCAAAAAAAGAGGGAGAAATTAATGTTGTAGCGTTACAATCCAGGGTGCAACAACCATTGGTGATCCCACAAGGGCAGCAACAAGGCAGAAGGCCGCGAAGAAATTTTGATCCACTATGGATGCCACCTAGTGAGTTATTACAACAGCTAGTTAAGCATCCTTAGTGGAACTCAATCCTCTAGCTCCCCCAGTCGGGCCGCTCCCGCGAAGGTACAATGTCAATGCCAGATGTGAGTATCATGCTAACTCTCCTGAACATACCGTGGAGCAATCTTGCCATTCAAGCATAAGGTCCAAGATTTGTTAGAATCTCAAGACATCACTTTCGAGAAGCCTAACATCAAATCAAACCCTATGCCTTCGCACGATGGACCGACAATAAATGTAATTGAAGTAGTCACTAACTCTGGGGCAAGCAGACGAGCAAAAACCCCAATAAACCTGCTGAAAAAATATTTGTTGAGATGTGGGTTCCTGTTGGATTACGTCCTGAAATCAAATAATTCATTGGTTATCAGAAGATTCGTGAGTTCTCAGTACTAATCAACAAGTGCAGGAACTACGATGAAAGAATCATGATGTTTATCTGGATGATCAACCAGAAGTGTCTGAAAACAAACAAATACCTTCATCAACTTAAGTTAATGAATAGTAGGTGTGACGATTGTGATGAGCATGTGAAATCAAATCTACATGTTTTGAGAGACTATATAACTTGCTAAACAACTTTGGCTTCAGCTTGTGAGCAACGTTAACAAACACGAAATCTTTAATTCTGAATTAGATTATGGGATAGAATTCAATATGAAGGTGAACCAAAGCATAGAAAAAGTGAATTGGCAAGATCTTTGTGCTAAAGCGTGTCACAACATTTGGTACTGGAGAAGCCAAAGAATGCACGCGGCTCCGCATGTCATGACTTTGGTGACTTTAGTCACTTTTATGCACCAATAATCTATTTAATAAAATTATATTAGTATTTGAAAATTATTTGATAACCAAAGTTATGAAAGTTACCTACAGGAATGTCATTGCCGAAAGAAATTCAAGAGAATAATACAAGCAACAGTCTGCAACAAAAAGTGCTTAGAACTTTGCAAGCTGAGAGAAAGATCAACTGGCATCCCCCCGAAGCAGACTGGATTTGTTGGGACGGTGCAAGATGGAAAGCAGACAGGGTGCAGGGGAGTGTTCAGAGATCATCATGAAAACTGGTTAATCGATTTATGCTCCTTGAGAGTGCTCACTAGATAAAATATGTCCTTCCCCAAAACATAAGGATAAATGCAAGACCCAAAATAACAAAATATGTAAAGCAGTAAATAATCTTTTGATTTTTAAAATTGTAAAAATAAACAATATAATTAAAAAAAAAAGTGTTCAAATAATGATACAAACATCGCAAAATGTCTTCAACAATTCTAAGCTAACAGAATGAACCAATTTAACTTATTTAACTTATTTAACTTAACAAACAAATCAAACAATGTGTGAATTGTAACTTACTATATTCTTCAAAAACATTGCAGAAATGGCTCTATCTGATTCATTCATGGTCTTCTTTTTTTGGGCTTGCAATATATACTTCTGGCTTTATAGAGCTACCAAAAGCATTCCAACCTAAAAGGCATGGCATGATAAACTGCATACAAAAGCAACAAAATTACAATATTAATCAAGTTGAATGCATAATTGGCAATATGCATTTACTAAAACAAAAAATTTATTGTTGATTTTAGGCAGTACATTATACCTAATAGGCTTTGATTAATGAGTCGAATACAATGATTACTAATAATTACAAAATATAGACCTAATAACTATGATCATGTATTTTGCATGAAATTTACTGCATGAAATAGATTTAATTGCTTCTTCTATGAATTATAGTATAATAACACATAACATTAAACCAATTCTGCTATAGAAAAAGCTATTCAAAAATTAGTTTGTTTCGAAATAAGTTAGGTGATATCTCCCTTGAATTTGGTAGGATAAATTTACAAAAAGCCATTCTAAAATTAGTTTATTTCGAAATAAGTTAGGTAATATCTCCCTTGAACTTAATAGGATAAATTTACAAAGCACTTGAAATCAATACAAAAGTAGGGGAAATCAGGGATGGGGAGAGAAAGAAAAAGAGAGAGATCATACATTGAAAAGTGAATTGAACACTGAAAACTCGGCTTTTGTGACAGGGATGAAGATGTTTTCATTTATGTTCTCGGGCATGTTTTGAACACCTTCAAAAATTGACATAACAAAGTCAGAATTGAGGAAAATGTAACAACATTTAACTAGAAAATCAATCCAGGAGTATATATTAGTTACTACCAGTTTTGCAATGGAAGGGAAGTAAAATCAAATTAATAAAAACAACAGAAGTTTATGAAGAAAGAGCATTACTTAGGTTAAACATGTGACCAGAACCGTCGTGAAGTGGCTCCACCTTCAAAACTTTTCTCACTTTACCTTTGTCACTACATAAGACAATGTACCAAATGTCTTAAAATAAAAAATCACAGCAAAGACAGTTGAACACGTGAAATGATTTGGTGTTGATTACGTGAAACAACTAAGTAAATATGCATGAATCTATAATATATGGTCATATTAAATATAAAATCACAACAAAGACGTTGAATACGTGAAACAATTCAGTTAATATGCATGAATCTATATATATAATCGTTTTAAATATTTTAAGACGCCATCAAATCTCCTTCCAATTTGAGAAGAGAAGTTTTGAAGGTGGAGCAATGATGAGAAACTTTGAATATGTTATGCTGGGTCATTCATTACAATAATTAGCAGGGTAGGGAGAGCACAGAACTACCTTTTTCCCAAAAAAGGTTCATGGAAAAATTCACAAGACTCCTTTGCACCAAGGTTGATTAGATTTCCAATTTCTCCCACTGATAGCGAAAATACCTGTGTACAACCAAAGACAATTACATTATGTTTTAAAGTATAAGACTACAACTTAGTTCGACAGAATCACAAATTTCAATGAAATCAGAGTTTTCAATTTTGTTATTGATATTGAGTCCCACATCGGACAATATATGGCCTAAGCATATGCTTATAAGTGGGGGCAATCCTCATCCACCCTACAAGTCAGTTTTGTAAGATTGAGTTAGGCCCAACCCACACATTCTAAGAGATGCAAGAACCATAACTCACCTGTTTTTTGTTCCAATCATATACGCGCGGACCAGCCGAAGGAGCAAACTGAAGCAGCACGCAACCTTCTTTGGATATCTTGAACGCCCCTGACTACAAAAAAAACACAAAGTTTTCATAATTAAACAGTACAATATTCACAATTCCATAAAAGTATAAATCAGATCACAAAAATAATTTAAAAAAAATACAGAAAACATACATCCAATGAAGTGAATTCCGGAGGTCTAGGAGACACAGTGAGTGCAGCTTTCCCTTTGTAAAGTGCATGACCAACATAAACCCTCGGTGGCAATTCTACAGCTGATAAAAAAAAAACCACACAAATCAAAAAATAAAATTATGAAAATAAATTAAAACAGTGTCATCACAATGATGAAACAGCGATTATTCTAACCGATTATTCTATGAAAAAACGTGACTACCTGGTGAAGGAGGAGGTTGAGGGCGTTGAGTCGGTGGAGAAGGAAACGGTTTCAGTTTCGGTTTCGGTTGTACAAGCTCCGGGTGGCTACATGTGACAGAGGATTGCGGAAGATTGGAGCAGAAAGTGGAACCCACGCGCCTCGGAGAAATGGGTTTCTTGGGAGTGATGAAAGAGTAGTTTGGGAGTAAGATTGGGTTGGTGGCAGTGGTTGTATAAGATTGTGCATGCAACATCCTCTTGTGATTTTATTTTTTTTTTGGCTCTCGTAAATTGTAAAATAAAATGGTGAGAATTTATGTAAGCATGTGATTGGAGGAAATATATATCTTGGATAGATTCATTGACTTTATTGCATATTAATTTTGGTAATATAACCGAATAAGTATGTAATAAAGTTTTTATCATTTTTTCTTTCTACTTATGAGAGAATATGTCAAATAATTATTGTTGAATTATTTAATTAAATTATTATTATTTACTTCAAAAAAAGATGGGAATTACTTTGCCTTAATTATGTACGTCCTAGGTAGATACTTAAGAATGAATATTGTTAAACAATGCATGACTAAATTCTAGAATTTTATTCAACTGTCTGAGATGTTTTACCATGACGAGGGATTTCTTGTTTAAGTTTGGTTCACACAAAAACAAATATATGATAATTATGAGGGGTCCACATAAAAACTGCTTAAGTTGGAATGATGCATGAAATATGTATTTATAGATATGAAAGTTTTGTAGCAAAAGAGGGAAATTCTAAATTAAAAGAAAAAATAAAATTTGACCTATAAAATAGTATGAGTCGACCTGTAACTTGTATTAGCCAACACATAATTTTAATTTTAATAGCATGTGTCGACCTGAATGATTTATGAGTTGACCTGACTTTCACAGAAGAAAACTGCTTATTTAGGATAGTACACAGGGGCGGATGTACGTTTAGGCTAGGTGTGGCTATAGTCACACCAGATTTTTTTTTCTTTCTAATATTAATATATATTTAATTAATTAATTAATTTTAATATTTAATATTATATAACTCTTCAACTCACTTTTATCTCTTAATTTTCTCTCTCTTTTATTTCTTTCTCTCTCACACAGTAAACCCTTTCTCTTCTTCTCAAACCCCACCAACTTCCATATTTGTCTCTTTCTCTCATTAATCCAATAACCCCACCATTTTGCATTGTTTATGGGTGATTGAAAATCAAAGGTAAACTAACTACTTCAAAATTTTCTTATTCTTTTGTTCTATTTGAGTTGAACCCTAAAACCCCTATTTGTTTTAAAAAAGTAAATTTTCAATTTCTCATAAATATTTTCTTTACAATAAATTGTTCTTATTATTTTCTTTATAGAGTGAATAGCTAATTTTAATGGTTTCATTGTTCTCTTTATAGGATGAAGAAATTTTTTCCTGTGCTTTCTAGAGACAAAGCTACTTCTTCGGTAAATCTAGAAGCATCGGAAACTCAACATCCAAGTGAGAGTATTAAAGTTGTCGATTATGAATTGTTGGAAACCGATCCAGGAATTAGGCCTCTAATTTCAAGCTATCATCCTGACATCCAAAATGAGGTAAGGAAAGCTTATTTAAAAATAGGTCGTCATAAACCTCCTTACAATTTTGTTTACCCTTGGTCTGTTCAAGGTAATCAAAGACGTAGATTTTGCAAAAATTGGTTTGATTTGTATGATTGGATTGATTATAGTGAATCTAAGGACCTGACATTTTGCTTGCCATGTTTTTTGTTTAAGAATGTCTCTAAATACGGGGGAGATCACTTTGTGACAGAGGGGTTTGGTGATTGGAAGAATTCTCACAGATTGGCTAATCATGGAACTTCTTCCAATAGTCATATTGATTGTGTGCATATGAGTTACGCTCTCATGAACCCAAACTAAAGTATTAAGGCTGCATTTGTTAATCAAACTAAACAAATGAATTCTGAATATCGTGTTCGTGTAAACACATCTCTTATAGCTACTAAGTTTCTTTTGAGGTGTGGCATGCCATTTAGAGGGAGTGACGAGTCCTTTAACTCTTTATTTAAGGGGCCATTTCTTGAGTTGGTGGACACTCTAAAGGAAATTAACCCAGAGATAACTAAGGTAATAAATTGTGCTCCAGGAAATAACTTTATGATTGCCCCTAAGATTCAAAAGGATCTTGCTGCTGCTTGTGCATGTGAAATAACTAAACAAATTGTATGTGATATTGCGGATGATGTGTTTTGTGTTTTGATTGATGAATTCGGTGACGTTGCTGGTAAAGAACAAATGGTTGTTGTTATTCGCTATGTTAATAGTGATGGTTTGGTAAAAGAAAGGTTTCTTGGGATTGTTAGTGTTAAAGAAACAAGTGCTAAGTCACTTAAGGAGGCACTTGAGAAGTTGTTGTCTATTAATGGCTTGAGTTTATCTAGCATAAGGGGGCAAGGATATGATGGAGCTAGCAATATGCGAGGTAAGTTTGGTGGTTTGAGAACTTTAATTCAAAATGAAAATCCATCAGCTTATTATGTGCATTGTTTTGCCCATCAACTTCAATTAGCACTTGTTGCATGTGCTAAGACTCATAAAGATGTTAGTGGTTTTTTCGGGAAGGTCAATATGCTTGTTAATTTCATACGGTCTTCTAACAAGAGACAAGAATTGCTTCGGGACAAACAAGTATCTCAATTTGCTAAATTGATTGAAGAGGGTGAGATAGAGACTGGTAGTGGATTAAATCAAGAATCGTCTATTGCTAGAGCGGGTGACACTCGTTGGGGTTCCCACTTTAGGACTCTCACTAGTTTGATGACTTTATATGGTGCCATTATTGAGGTACTTGAAGAAGTCGGGGAAGATACGTCATTTGAAAAATATGGTGAAACTATGCTTTTGCTAGATGTGCTTCAGTCCTTTGATTTTATTTTCATGTTATACATGATGGTTGAGATTTTAGGATTTACAAATGATTTAAGTGTAGTGTTACAAAAGCGTGATCAAGATCTTTTGAATGCTTTATCACTTGTCAAAGCCACCAAACAGGAATTACAAGAAATGAGAAATGATGGATGGGAAGAACTTATATCTAAGGTTATGGAAATTTGCAATAAGCATGATATTGATGTGCCTGATTTGGATGCAGCGTACGTGCAAGGGAAGAAACCTAGACGACATGCTATCACTTCTAGTGTTTCTAATTTGCATCATTATAAGCATGATTGTTTATGTAGTGTTTTAGATTTGCAGTTGCATGAGCTCAATGCTAGGTTTGATGAAGAGAATACTGAACTTTTACAATGTGTTTCATGTTTGAGTCCCTCATCATCATTTGAATCTTTTGATGTGAAAAAATTATTGAGGATGTGTTGGCTGAAGATTTTGATAATGATATTAGAAGCCAAATGAATTAAACGTTTCGATCGAAATGAGGTAAAGAACCATGTTTCGAAGTAGCAGAAGTAGTGTTTCGAATAAGCATGTCAGAGCTTGGGGCTTCGAGTGGCAATTATGGGAACATATCTAAAGAAGTCTCGAAATAACAACAAGGCTGTGTCTGGGAAGAGCGTTTGAAACGGAGAAGTACCAAAGTATTTGAAATTCAAATGGAAGCGGGACTTTCGAAGTTTGAAAGTTATGTGCTGGTGTATTTGGGGACACGTGGAAAGATTAAAGAGACATTGTCCTGCATGTTCTGAACGTGGCATAATCCTATAGCAAGACCGTTATGGTCGAATTAGTATAAATAGAAGTCTTAGTATTAGGATTTCGTGTGTCATATCTATTATACAAAATACTCAGTAACATTCAAACTACCACATGGCAAGGGAAACGAATGCAAGAGAAATGTATGTATGATAGCACCATGTATTTCTGATTTAATGAAAACCTTTTACCATTTCCAGCACTTTCCTTTATCTTTTTGTCAAATAGCATTTACAAGTTTTCTCATTTACAGTCTTTTCACTTCGAAATCTCTTCTTCAAAGTTTTACATTTTAATGCTTTCTTCACATTTTTAGCAATTTACATCTTAGAAAACTGTCATATTTTCCATACCTTTACCTTCAAGTTTTATCCTTCGAACGCATATTTTTACTTAAAGTCATTTAAAGATTTCTTGCATTAAACGCTTTCTTCATATTTCAAACCTTTTACGTTCCAGAAATCCTTTATATTAACTGTTTTGTATGTCGAAACCATTTACTTCACTTTTATGCAATTTTACATGTCTTTACAATTAGCATTTATTCATGTAACTTAGTTTCACACACACATTTTGATTACATCTTTAGACTTTTAGAAAGAGAAATCGAAATAAGCCAAACGCATAGATAACATCAAACATGAATATCTGTTCGATCGTGAGAGTAACCTTAATATCCAAGGAGTCCTAGGATCAATCTAGTCGATCCTGTGAGTTACCAGAGGAATTGAATAACAGTAAGAAAGATTATTCGATAGTTTGGAAGACTAGCGGTTGTTTACCAGAAATCACTGGAAACAAATTGGCACACCTGGTGGGACCAATAATTGGATATTAGAAATAAAGATTGTTGAGACATAACCATTACAAAAAACGTTGGAACCTAAGAAGTTTGTTGTTTTATGAACCTGAGAAGTGGTAAGATAACCAACAGCAACCAACCTTTATCCAGAAGAAAACGTTTAGACAAAATGTCTAATTCTGACAATCAACAAGGGGACCAAAATGGCCCATATACAACAAGCACTAATGCGTCCACTTCGATCGGAACATCTAATGTAATCCCTTCGAATGCACAGTCTGTTGCATCTTCAACCAGTAACGTGGCCACCAATGGAGTAAGTGGCATATCAACTAATAGTTCGATCTTAGGAAATATTGGAACCATTGGCTACCCTGGGGGATTCGTTCCACCATCAGGGACACAATCCCATTTCGCCACTCCATTAACTAGACCACCCGGTTTCGATGGGAATAGAACCAGAAATTCCTCTTATGGAATGCCAACATCTTTTATGGCAGGTTTACACAATTCCACATCGAATTTATCTCCACAACTAGGGTCTGGGTCTGGGGCGAATCAGTTTATGACAAATAACCAAGGGTCAGTGGGTTATAGCACAATGCCTATCTTAACCACAGATAACCAGTTGGCTTTTAGGAAATTGATGGATGACAGTAACCATAATATGATAGGGGTGTTAGCACAAACCATGCAGGAGATATTTGCCCCAATAGTGCAAAATGTGACTGTGAC